TCTGTATCTTGTCCGTTTGTGTTTGTGTGTATCTGTATGTGTGTCAGGCTGTGTATCTGTGTGTGTCGGTGTATCTATATGTAGTCCGTGTGTGTACCTTTTGTATCTGTGTATCTGCATGTGTGTCAGGTTGTGTGTGTGTGTGTGTATGTGTGTCAGGTAGTGTATCTGTGTGTATCTATATGTAGTCAGGAGGCCCAAGTAAATGCTTGCCCAGGGTCCAATTAAAAGTAAAGACGGCCCTCACGAAATAATCCCTTTCGCGGAATTACAAACCAGAACAACACTGACCCCTGCAGATTTCTTTAGGTACCTCCAGCTAAGACACTATGCTACCCAAGAGTCTGTTAAAACAGCTGCCACAACTAAACCGACATTCTTTGAAAAAATATGCCTGGCCGAACGCTACCAAAAGGGAATGATCTCCCTCCTGTACTCCCACCTCTGCCCCACCACACGGGAATGGGGCGCCCTCCACTACACTGACAAGTGGGAAACCGATCTTGGGGAAACCTTAGAAGGCATAGACTGGCAGGACATATGGCAGGCAAACGCCAAAACTTCCATTTGCGTCACAATGCAAGAACAGGCGTACAAAACGATGTTCAGGTGGTATACCACCCCTGTTCAATTATACCATATGAAAAAAACACCCACAGACCTCTGCTGGCGCAACTGCGGAAAGAGAACCCCCCACAACCCTAACCACACCCCCAACACTAAACCCTACCTTACCCCTAAACGCTCAACCCGACGCCAGACACACCAAGCGACTTTACAGGTTTCCTACCCCCCTCCCTAACCCTAGCCTTAACACCTTAACCCTGACCCTAACCCCTTAACACTAACCTCTGTCCCTAACCCCCAACCCTTAAACCCAACCCTCTAATCCAACCACTAAAACCCTAACCACAACCCCCAACCCTAACCTCAAGACTAAACCTTACCCCTAACACGACCCTGACCCCCTAACCCTCCTAGCCCCCACCCTAACCCCCAAACCCAGACCCTAACCCTAACCTCTGTCCCTAACACCTTACCCGTAACCTTTAACCCTAACCCCTTTACACTAACCTCTGTCCCTAACCCACAACCCCCTAACCGTATCCCTAAATCCCTAACCCTTAAACCCAAACCCCTATCTCCCTAACCCCTACCCTCTAACCCAACCCCTATCCCCTAACTTTAACTCCCTAACACCTAACCCCAACCCTGGACCCTAACCCTGACTCTTCACCCTAAACCCCCAATAACCCTAACCCCAAAGACCCCTAACTCGGACACACTAACCCTAAACCCCCACTCTACCCATAAACCCCCTAAACCTACCCCAAACACTACAACCCCTGACCCTACCCCAACCCTTAAGCCTGTGAGAAACTCCCCTTTTTACCTGAGTTTGCCAAGAGCTCCAGGAGAAGCCTACTTGCCAGCCTCCTGCCCACAGACTATGGACCCTGTGGAAAAGAATGTAAACATCTCTGTTCGTGCAATTCGGATTATATGGTTCGCTTATCGAACAACCGCACGAAACAGAGACCACCCTGGAGATGGTTAACACCTATTAATAACTTTTGGTTTGTCACCACAGTATTCAAATTGGTGGTCTGGGTGGCCGCAATTCCTATAGACAAGCACGAGGTGAATGCCATCTTATTCACATGAACGCAGGACTTCCATCATCGCCTGCGTTCACTTCTATACAAGTTAGAAGAGCACTGTTCAGTGGGATCATTCAGCTGGATAAAGGGAACAAGCTCCAGGGTAAGAAGATTGACTCTGTTCTGTTGTTTGTTCGGTTTAAAAATAAACTAGACCGGGGGGCGGAGCCTGACCGCCGAGCAATACAGACGTGGGCAACACGAGCTCCCGCCTGACGGGCCGAATTTGGGGCAAAATCACCGGCTACATAGACTGCAGACTCACCGGGTTGTGCTACCCATGCTGGGAGTGCACCACGGAACCGAAGGACACCCCTCTGAAACCCGTCGGGGCCGGGAAGACGAAACACCGAATGCGGCCTACTAAAGTTGGAGCCGGGGGGAGACGGCCGCTCAACCCGACGCCAGACACACCAAGCGACTTTACAGGTTTCCTACCCCCCCCCCCTTTGGACCGGTGGGGGTTATCCCGGTCCCCACTGGGAGAACGGACTGTGACACCAATCCCTACCCCAGCTGTCTGAACACAGTAGGCAACGCAAGGCACCCCAACCTCACAAAATGGCGGAGGCCATACCACAGTCGCAGCAAACTCCCGCACGAGCACCCCCAGACACTCTTGAAACCAGACTGGACGCTTTGTTCCAGGCATTTTGGGATAAACTGCGGACCCGGGCCACTGCCGAACAACCCAACCGGTGCACAGAACGGGAGGCGGGCGCTTCCCCTCCGGGTAACCTACGCCACATATCGCCTCATCGCACCAGCAACTGCCCGCCCAGGCTGATAGCCAACAGAGGCCTGGCCTCGAGACATCGACCACACAGGGAGAAGAATACACGCCGCAGGCGGCGGATGCCACCGCGATTCTCTAACTGCCCCTTAAGGGGCCAGGACCGGGCCACACGTACCGAGTCCGTGGACAGAAGGTGTCGGCTTTCACAATATCCTGGGGCTGGAGGATAGCCCCCCGCACCCGCTGTTCCCCGGTTAAATCCGGCAGCCAATCTCTGCAGCTGACAACCTGTCAAGCTACCTATCCTCTCAGGCAGAAAACACCTCCAGGCACAGTATCCCTGCGACAGCCAAGCAAGCGGAAAACCGCCCGCCTTGACCGCAGCCTCACACGACCCCTCATACAGTTACAGCTAAACACCGAGGACGATGGACCAACGACGCATACCCTTCTGCAGATCCAGAGCTGGAAAAGAGCCATGGAACAGCATACTGTGGTAGACAATCGATGGGACTACCCTACACTTGTACCGCCCATACCGCTACTGGGGATCGGCTGACCGGGCGCCTGAGCCCTCACCCGGAGTCTCTGTTAACCCACGGAAGACACCGTGCAAAGGGACATACCAGATAAGAGACTCCCCATTTTCTGTTGAGGAAATTCTAGCTCAGCTTTGTTTTATTTTGTTGCCTATAACTTTGCCCCTACTGGTTGCGCAATTTGCTATGCTTGGGCCTGAACCCAGTGGTATAATGTTCTCTATGCATGCATGACTTTATGTTCAACAAGCTTGATTACACACAGACACAAATGTTTAGCAATTTTCAGCTTGATGCCAAAAGCCTGTATAATCTCACGTAAAGTATCACACTTTGGGCACGCAGTCTATATACAACATACGTTCACTACTTCGAGCGCATACAACTACTCGAGTCAGTTTCAGCTTCTAGCATGTTGTACCCACACTACCTATAATACCTATACTGTTACTTGTGCAGCCTAAATATTGCCGTAATAATTGAACCATACAGTTATGGATGTGTTAGCAATTTACTTGTTCTTATATATTAAAAAAAAAGAGGCAGACGCTTCATGGAGGCAGTCCCAAATGTACTGTTATAATCCTTTTAAAATGTATCTTAAATACCTCCCCTTCTTTTTTCTGTTCCCATACAACTATATGCCTCAATAAAAGAAAGATTGACAAAAAAAAATAAAATAAAAAATAAACTAGACCAACCGGAAACCCTGATTCGATGGAAATGTTTTGGCCATGGGACTATACATGCAGTCGGTCAAATAAATGACTTCCATGAAATTCCAGAACCCCTAAACTGATCTGGGTGATTTGGGGAAATATTGGTCACCCAGATCAGGGCTATCATATGATGTGACATTTGGGGGGAAATCATGTGTTTTGAGGTATTTTTTGCCCTTTTTGGAAAGTGTGTTTTTCTTCATTGGGTTAATGCAGTATCTGATCCAATTATCTCATACACACAAGGAAGGGATTGTTTGCTTTCTGTGGTAGTGCCGAACATTGTAAATGTGTTATTGGTTTGGAAGTTTGTGTCCCTATCCCCAACAAGTTCTATGTGGGCGTACCCCTTACTTGGGGACTTGCATAAAAGGCCAAGTGTGGCACCATTAAAATCTGTTCCGGCTCGCACTCCAAAACTGTGTGTCATCCTGTTATTGGAGGGATAGAAGATTTACTTCTGTGTCTGCTCTTCCAGCTTCCAGAGAATTCAAGAGGGAAAATCCTTGTAAGGAAGAGAGCTAATTCCCCACTGTTCAAGCTACGAAGCGAGCCTTGGCGCAGGTACCCAGCCAGGTGTACAGGGAGCTCAACTACATTTGGTAGCAAGCAGTGTGATGACATCTTAGCCTTGAAGAACGTCCAGAAGACCCCTGGAACTCCTGCACATCTTGGAACAAGCATGGCGCCCAGCTATGGTGAGGCAGAGTTTGACAGGGAGGTGAAGAGTCGGCTGGCTTTCTATGAACCCAATCACTCTGAGAAGAGCATACAGCACACACAAAAAAAAAAGGGGGCAGAGTACCTGATGCGCATGGCAGAACCAGCAAACGAGAGTGCATGTTGGGAGAGACTGCAGCGGCAGTAGGGGATCCAGGGAGAAAAGAGTGTTGTCCTTCCTCCCCAGCGGCCATGCAAGTTATTGGGAGTGGAGTCAGCCGGTCTCACTCGCCAGCGGCCAAGTGAGTTACAGGGAGTGTAGACAACAGATCTCACTCTCCAGCAACAGTGTGCAGTACAGGGAGTGGAGACAACCGGTCTCACTCCCCAGCAACAGTGTGTTTTACAGGTAGAGAAGTGTCACGCCCTTCCTCCCCAGCGGCAGTGTGTGTTACAAGACGTGGAGACAACCGGTCTCACTCCCCAGCGGTAGTGTACAATCTAGAAAAGAAAGTGTGTTGCCGTTCCTCCCCAACGGCCATACAAGTTATTGGGAGTGGAGACAACTAGTCTCACTCCCCAGCGCAGAATGAGTTAGAGGGAGTGGGGACAACAGGTCTCACTACCCAGGGGCAGTGTATCCTACAGGGAGTGGAGACAATTGGTCTCACTCCCCAGCGGCAGTGTGCATTACAGGGAGCCGAGTATCTCGTCCTTCCTCCCCGGCGGCAGAGTGTTTTACTGGGAGTGGAGACAACCGGTCTCACTCTACAACGGCAGTGTCGATTACAGGGAGAGAAGGGTGTCGCCCTTCCTCCCCAGCGGTAGAGTTTGTTACAGGGAGTGGAGACAACCGGTCTCACTCCCCAGCGGCAGTGTGAAGTACAGAGAGTGGAGTGTGTTGGCATTCCTCCTGTTATGAGCAAATGCAAGTATTACACGTTTTAGAATAAAATGTTGTATTTCTTAAACTGTGTACTTTGTCTTTAAGAGATATTGCAAACTGACAAGGTGTTAGAAACGGAACATAATGTTTTGCATAACTGTTTCTTTAAGCAATAACCTCTTACCTACCTTCAGTGCATAATATGTTTGTGCCATTTTGTCCCAGACAAATTACAATAACAATAATCCATAAACAAGCTTCAAGGCTATACTACGACTCTTTCAGGACACAATATACTGTGGTAACCTTAAGTAGATAAGGATGTTCAGACTTTAAGCTGACATCTTCAACTAAGTCAGGAAAATTTCCATGACGTATACACCCTTTAGTTATGGCCAGGTTAAGGGAGGTCCTAAAATGAATAAAGTAAAAGAAGTGTTACTTTTTCATATATAAAATACGGTAACCCTAAAATGAAGACACCTATGGTATAAATACGTGTACTTTTAAATGTTAAAACGGAGGTAGAGACTTGGAGACAGACGCTGCTCCATCTTAAAACAGAGAGGCTGACATGATGACATGTTCAGAAGGGTATGTTAACCTATTAATAATATTTGCAAGCATTTAGTTTAATCTTATAAACTCTGCTATAAATTAGAGCAATGGATTTTATGGGTCTATATTTAGAATTTTAGACAATAAATATCAAAAAGACAAAACTTTAGTGCTTCCAATACAATCCTCATTTTATATTGTATTCTCAATTATTTATATATGTTAAATAGAGGATCTTTTACAATAACTATATAAAATTAGGGCTAAGATATGTGTATGGTTAGCTCTACTAAGTTCTATGCTTTAAGACGTTATAGTGGTAAATAAGGGAACCAGCCGCGGTTACACTCCCCAGCGGCAGAGTGTATTATTGAGAGAGGAGGGGGTCAGTCTCTCTCTCCCCAGCGGCAGGTAGTGGAGATGGTCGTTCACACTCCCCAACAGCTGAGGCAGTCATCCAGAGACAAGCCCCCTAGCATGAATGGTGCAGATGGGACAGAGGTCTCTGCACCAGCCCTACAGGGATGCTGGGCAGCCTACCCAGATCCCCAACTGCCCATTCACAACCATGATCCAGGCACAGGAGAGGGAACTACGGCCTTTACTGACCTCCTTCCAGCAGAAGACCTGGCATCCGGGAAGAGCACAGCTGGCCTTTGCCCTATCTACACATTTGTTCTGGGGCCTAACGACCCACCAACCAACCCAGCTAGAAAGCTGGCTATGGGGAAGAGCGCCACTAGCCTCTGCCCACCAGGCACGGATGAAGGAAACTGCACCCTCCATCCACAGCAAAAACTGGGTCCAAATAGGGGAGAGTGCGTCCAGGTTGTTTACCCGCAGGACACTGGATCTACAAATGGGCACCTGTGGTAGGAGGCCGTGTAGACAACCACGCCTTTTGGGAAAGGCCACCAGACTATCACAGACCCAGACTGATTAGAGGCCTGGATAGTCTCCCAGGAAGGGGGAAGATATGTGACAAACTCCCCTTCTTACCTGAGTTTGCCACAAGTTCCTGTAGAAGCCTGCTTGCCAGGCTGATGCCCACAGACTATGTATAATGTAAACATCTAATGCAATTAGGATTATATGGTTCGTTTAGGGGTTTACGAAACAGAGACCACCCGGAAGCATGTTAACACCTATTAACAACTTGGAACGATTATCACTGCAGTGTTCTAATTGTTCGTCTGGGTGGCTGCAAATCCTATTGAAAACCACGGAGTGGTGGCCATCTACTTCACATGAACGCAGGCAGCGGTGTTTGGGCACGAATCTCCTGAAACTAAAATCGGCTACAGAAACTGACTAACACCGCTGGACTTCAATCATCACCTGCGTTCGGTTCAATACAACTTAGAAGAGCACAGTGCGGTGGAATCATTCGTCTGCATGAACGGAACAACCTCCAGAGTAAGACTATTGACTCTATTCGGTAGTTTGTTCGGTTTCAAACTACCGAAATAGACCGAACGCAAGCCCTGATTTCTTGGAAATGTTTTGGGCATGGGACCATGCCTGCGGTTGTTCAAATAGATTACTTCCATAGAACCCCTGAACTGATCTGGGTGATTTTGGGATATCTTGGTCACCCACATCAGGGCTATCAGGGGATGTGACATTCCGGGGGTACAGGGAGCTCCAATACACTAACCCTAACCCAAACCCTTACCCCCCCTAACCTTAACACCCTAATTCTAACCCTAACCCCAAAACCTAACCCTAGCTTAACCCAAACCCTCTGAGCCCTAAACCTAACCCCATGACGCCTAACCCTACACCACATCCATAACCCTAACAGCCCCACCCCCCACCCTAACCCCAAACCCTAAACCCTATCCTTAACCCCAACCCGAACCCCCTAATCCTACCCTCCTAACCCTTCTAATCCAAACCCGCTATCCCTAACCACAACACTAACCCTGTAACCCTAGCCCTAACCACAACACTATGGAAAAGGGAATGGGGGAAAGAACACAGGGACAGAGGAGGGTAGAAAAGAACACAATGGGACAGGGGAGGGGAGAAAAAAAAGAACATTATGGGACAGGGAGGGGGGAAAAATAGAACATTATGGGACAGGGAAAGGGGAAAAATAGAACATTATGGGACAGGGAAGGGGGGAAAGAGCACTATGGGACTGAGGAAGAGGGAGGAAAGGACTCATTTTTGGTTTCGGTTTTCAGCCAAGGGCATCCTGAAGTTTCAGCCCAGAATTTTCAGTTTGGGGCATCCCTACCCTAACCCCCACACAACCCTAAACCTCAACCCGGCCCTAAACCTAACCTCCACCCTAACAACCCTACACTAAGTATAACCCTACCTTAACCCCAACCCCCTCCAAGCATAACCCCCTAACCAAACCCTTAACCCTAACAACTCCAACCCTACATCTTAACCCTAACCCGCTATCCCAAACCCTAACCTTAACCCCCCAAAGCCTAACTCTCAACCCGAACAACTAACTAACCATAACCGCCTCCGAACCCTTAACCTTGAACGGAGGTTAGGTATGCATCAAGAGCTTTGACGGGGCACCTTGAATGTCAGTAGGATCATAAAGCAATTTTTGCTGACTTACTCCTTCCACTAGTTTTTGCATGGTTAAGGGAAAGTACATAGTAGACATGTGTCTTTATGAGGTGAGCTTTTTTGATATAGTCTAGGGTGTTGGCGTTTATGGCAGTGAATTTGCTTAGCCGGGGAAATCCATAGAAAGCCAGTTAAATGGCAGTTTGTATGATGTGATTGGTTTGAGTTTCAAACGGTGAGGCATCTATGAGATCCAAAAGTAACCGGAACACTTGATCATGTATGTGTAATCTAGAGGGTGTAGGAATAAGGCTGCAGTCTTTTATACCTTTTAAGATAGATTTAATCTGAGAGGATGAAAGGAAACTGGGTTTGTTACGCCATAAAGTGAGGATATAATGGTGAATGCCGGTTAAATATAATTTTATACTATTGAAAGAGTTTGAAGTGAAGGGGGCAAAAAGAAATTAAAGCAACCATTGTCTCCATGGAAAATTTATACACAATATTAAACTCTAACAAGAACCTTTTAAAAATGTGGAAAGCTCTATCATATGATTTTAGTGTTTGCAGAAAGTGCGAGCTGTGAGAGATGCCAACCGTAAGCTAATACATTAGCTAGCCAATAGTATTGTATCACCACAGTGGTGCCGGGGTAACTCTGAATTCTGGGTTTAATGGATTTCTAAAGCAGAACACTGAATGTTTTCTAAAGCACTGCGAAAAATTTTTTGGCTATGTATCTATGCAAGTAATTGTTGATGAACTGCTTTTCGGTAATTGTTGCATGTAACTCCTTTGGAAATTAAGTAAACGTTAAGTTGCTTAGAAGCTGTTTGATAATTCATGTGTCTTGAAATGCTGTACTAATACTTGCTAAGATATTGACCCTACTAGTGGATAATTTCTATGAGTGATTTTTGAGTTATCTTTGTTGCCATAATTGGTACCATATTTGAAACTATTGTTATAACAAACATTCACAGATTTTTTTTCATTCGTATTACATTTTATTTGTCAAAATAAATTATATTTTTAGATTTGTTGTGATTAATGTCTGAAATACAAATCCTAGAATAAACAGATTACAGGGTCTATAAGAGTTAAAATAGTGGGTAACCCATCTCTTTAAATAAATCAAAGGGAAACAGTGCCTATATATATATATATATATATATATATATATATATATATATATATATATATATAAATAATATTCCACGTGTCCGGCACTCACTGCTCCCGGTCTTGTAAACGCCTGGGTGCAAACTCCGACCTTCAGAATATATAGAACCTTGTTGAAGTGCACTCGCAGGACTCAGTAGTATTTCTAATCGTGCTTATTTATTGAAACATCAAATATTACAAAAAAATGTCGACGTTTCAGTCCTATCTGGACTTTTTCAACACCTTTCACTTCTTGAAAAAATTCCAGATAGGAATGAAACGTCAACGTTTTAGTGTAATATTTGATGCTTCAATAAATAAGCACGATTAGAAATACTACTGAGTCCTATGAGTGTACTTCAACAAGGTTATATATATATATATATATATATATATATATATTTATTAATAAAAATTATTATTGGTGAGAATTTTTATAAAATACTTTTACTATGCAATACCACATACATATCATCAAAAGCCATAAACACAGGAAACCTAGACCTGGCTCAATGTTCCTGCAATACTGAGCTCCAACTGCTGAAATGGAGCCATTCAGGTTTAATGCATGACATGGATAGGAATCATGGAAAAAACATCCATGGGACATCAGACAAGATACACCAGCTACTTACTCTTCATTTCCAGGTCACATACCTAACCGTCCCTCAGAAAGTTGCAATTACATCCGAGGGCAAAATGTGATCTCCCCCCAGGATCATCTGTGGAGCAATGTCAGTGGGAAGAGCTGAAGAAGATGGGAATGTAGTTCAGCTGCAAAAACATATTAAATAAATAGTTATATGCTGTGCACACAGGTAACCACTACGGGGCAGCATTAATCTCTTTAGTATGTCTTTCTGTACAAGTGTGTGTGAGATATACAGATATTCCACAAGGTGGCGCACAAAATCTTTACTCTTTTAATGGTCTTAAACATTTTAGATTTCCTCTCTTCTTGGGTTCTTTACCAGAGATTAGGGCAGTCCGAAATTCAGAAATGATCAATTTAGACCAAACTGAAATTCAGAGCAATTTAGAAACCAAAACAAATTGTGATTGTATATTTGCTAATTTATATGACATCACAGAAGATAATGTCACTTCATAATAAGAGAAGGTGGTGTACATTATTAGATATAAGATTATAAAATATACCTTTACATTTATATTGGAAGAACTGTTCCAACATAAATATACAAGTGCATATCAACAACTGTGCATACATAAATACGTTCGAAGGCATGTCAAAGGCTTGAACAAATTATTATCCTCATTATTCCAAATGATACCAAATTAGAACGATGTTTATCAGACAGGTCACTAATTTTGAATCCTTAAAAAGGATAATCCAAGATAAGGGTGTCAAATTAGGGAGCTATTTACTAAACATCTACATGAAAGATCAAAAGTAACAAAAAAAGCTTTCATTCGTGATTTTCACTTTTCCGCTGTTTAGTAGAATTTGGTACCAATAAATGAGATTGACAAAAATAAAGGATACAAAAAAGGGACCTATCTGTTAAAAAACTGAAACAGCTACATTAAGAAAATTTATTTTTTTCGGTTCAATTGGCACCTTTCAGCTGTTTAGTTGATAGATCCTTAAAGGGACACTCCAGACCATTTCTGCCCATTGGAGTGGTCTGGGTGCCAACTCCCACTACTCTTAGCCCTGCAAGTGTAATTATTGCAGTGTCTTATAAACTGCAATAATTACCTTGCAGGGTTAATTCCACCTCTAGTGGCTGTCCCACAGGAAACCTGTGCTAGAGCGTTGCTGGATGTCCTTACGCTGTGTGAGGACCTCCAGCGTCGCTCATTTCCCCATAGGAAAGCATTAAAAAGCATTTTCAATGCTTTCCTATAGGGAGCTCTAATGCACATGCGCGGCATTGCCAAGCATGCGCATTAGGTCTCCCTGGCCGGTGGGCGGGATCAGTCTGGCCCACCGGCCGACGCAAGAACAGGGAGGAGCGGCGGAGGAAGAAGCAGCAGCAACGTGGGACATCGTCACTGCCTCTGGTAAGTTACTGAAGGGGTTTTCACCCCTTCAGCAACCAGGGATTGGGGGGTGGGAGGGAGAGAGGACCTGCAGTGCCAGAAAAACAGATTGTTTTCCTGGCACTGGAGTTTCCCTTTAATGTGGTATCCTTATGTGAGATTAACATAACTAAAGGTACCAAATTAAGGACTTCCTGTGTGTCCATCACCTTAATACTTGTATGTCAGTTCACCTATTCTAGGAGACGGGGTATGGATAATGGGAATGGCAGCCCTCAGTTAGTGCAGAGCAGGGAGAATGGTAATGGCATCACTCAGTCAGTGCAAGTATAATGGGAATGGCAGCACGCAGTCAGTGCAAGGATAATAGAAATGGTAGTATTCAGTCAGTGCAAGTATAATGGGAATGGCAGTACTCAGTCAGAGCAGGGATAATGAGAATGGTAGCACTCAGTCAGTGCAGGAATAATGGGAATGGTAGTATTCAGTCAGTGCTGGGATAATGGGAATGGTAGTAGTCAGTGCAGGGATAATGGGAATGGTAGTATTCAGTTAGTGCTGGGATAATAGGAATGGTAGTAGTCAGTGCAGGGATAATGGGAATGGTAGTATTCAGTTAGTGCTGGGATAATAGGAATGGAAGCACTCAGTCAGTACAGGGATAATGGGAATGGTAGCGTTCAGTCAGTGCAGGGGGAATGGTAGTAATCAGTGCAGGGATAATGGGAATGGCAGCGTTCAGTCAGTGCAGGGATAATGAGAATGGTAGCGCTCAGTCAGTGCAGGGATAATGGGAATGGTAGCGCTCAGTCAGTACAGGGATAATGGGAATGGTAGTTGTCAGTCAGTGCAGGGATAATGGGAATGGTAGTTGTCAGTCAGTACAGGGATAATGGGAATGGTTGCGTTCAGTCAGTACAGGGATAATGGGAATGGTTGCGTTCAGTCATTGCAGGGATAATGGGAATGGCAGCGCTCAGTCAGTGCAGGGATAATGGGAATGGCAGCGCTCAGTCAGTGCAGGGATAATGGGAATGGTAGTGCTCAGTAAGTGCAGGGATAATGGGAATGGCAGTACTCAGTCAGAGCAGGGATAATGAGAATGGTAGCACTCAGTCAGTGCAGGAATAATGGGAATGGTAGTATTCAGTCAGTGCTGGGATAATGGGAATGGTAGTAGTCAGTGCAGGGATAATGGGAATGGTAGTATTCAGTTAGTGCTGGGATAATAGGAATGGTAGTAGTCAGTGCAGGGATAATGGGAATGGTAGTATTCAGTTAGTGCTGGGATAATAGGAATGGTAGTAGTCAGTGCAGGGATAATGGGAATGGTAGTATTCAGTTAGTGCTGGGATAATAGGAATGGAAGCACTCAGTCAGTACAGGGATAATGGGAATGGTAGCGTTCAGTCAGTGCAGGGGGAATGGTAGTAGTCAGTGCAGGGATAATGGGAATGGCAGCGTTCAGTCAGTGCAGGGATAATGGGAATGGTAGCGCTCAGTCAGTACAGGGATAATGGGAATGGTAGTTGTCAGTCAGTGCAGGGATAATGGGAATGGTAGTTGTCAGTCAGTACAGGGATAATGGGAATGGTTGCGTTCAGTCAGTACAGGGATAATGGGAATGGTTGCGTTCAGTCATTGCAGGGATAATGGGAATGGCAGCGCTCAGTCAGTGCAGGGATAATGGGAATGGCAGCGCTCAGTCAGTGCAGGGATAATGGGAATGGTAGTGCTCAGTAAGTGCAGGGATAATGGGAATGGCAGTACTCAGTCAGAGCAGGGATAATGAGAATGGTAGCACTCAGTCAGTGCAGGAATAATGGGAATGGTAGTATTCAGTCAGTGCTGGGATAATGGGAATGGTAGTAGTCAGTGCAGGGATAATGGGAATGGTAGTATTCAGTTAGTGCTGGGATAATAGGAATGGTAGTAGTCAGTGCAGGGATAATGGGAATGGTAGTATTCAGTTAGTGCTGGGATAATAGGAATGGAAGCACTCAGTCAGTACAGGGATAATGGGAATGGTAGCGTTCAGTCAGTGCAGGGGGAATGGTAGTAATCAGTGCAGGGATAATGGGAATGGCAGCGTTCAGTCAGTGCAGGGATAATGGGAATGGTAGCGCTCAGTCAGTGCAGGGATAATGGGAATGGTAGCGCTCAGTCAGTACAGGGATAATGAGAATGGTAGTTGTCAGTCAGTGCAGGGATAATGGGAATGGTAGTTGTCAGTCAGTACAGGGATAATGGGAATGGTAGCGCTCAGTCGGTGCAGGGATAATGGGAATGGTAGCGCTCAGTCAGTACAGGGATAATGGGAATGGTAGCGTTCAGTCAGTGCAGGGGGAATGTTAGTAATCAGTGCAGGGATAATGGGAATGGTAGCGCTCAGTCAGTGCAGGGATAATGGGAATGGTAGCGCTCAGTCAGTACAGGGATAATGGGAATGGTAGTTGTCGGTCAGTACAGGGATAATGGGAATGGTTGCGTTCAGTCAGTACAGGGATAATGGGAATGGTTGCGTTCAGTCATTGCATGGATAATGGGAATGGCAGCGCTCAGTCAGTGCAGGGATAATGGGAATGGCAGCGCTCAGTCAGTGCAGGGATAATGGGAATGGTAGTGCTCAGTAAGTGCAGGGATAATGGGAATGGTAGTGCTCAGTAAGTGCAGGGATAATGGGAATGGTAGTGCTCAGTAAGTGCAGGGATAATGGGAATGGTCGTGCTCAGTCAGTGCAGGGATAATGGGAATGGTCGTGCTCAGTCAGTGCAGGGATAATGGGAATGGTCGTGTTCAGTCAGTGCATGGATAATGGGAATGGTAGTTGTCAGTCAGTGCAGGGATGATGTGAATAGTAGTGCTGACTCAGTGCAGGGATAATGGGAATGGTAGTTGTCAGTCAGAGCAGGGATAATGGGAATGGTAGTTGTCAGTCAGTGCAGGGATAATGGGAATGGTAGCTGTCAGTCAGTGCAGGGATAATGGGAATGGTAGCTGTCAATGCAGGGATAATGGGAATGGTAGTACTCAGTCAGTGCATCGATAATGGGAGTGGTAGTACTCAGTGCAGGGATGATGGGAATGGTAGTGATCAGTCAGTACAGGGATAATGGGAATGGTAGTTGTCAGTCAGTGCAGGGATGATGGGAATGGTAGTCAGTCAGTGCAGGGATGATGGGAATGACAGTTCAGCAATACACGTTAGGCTCAGTGATAAAAGCCATAAACACAGGGAACCTAGACCTGGCTAAATGTTCCTGCAATACTGAGCTCCACCTGCTGAAATGGAGCCATTCAGGTTTAATGCATGACATGGATAGCAATCATGGAACAAAACACCCAGGGGGCGTCAGACAAGATACTTACACTTCATTTCCGGGTCACACACCTAGCATTCCCGCCAAAAACAAAAACTCCCAATCACTTCCGGGGGCAGGACGTGACCTCCCCCCAGGATTCTCCGCGGAGCATGGACTGTGGGGAGAGTTGGGGTTTCTGGGAGATGTAGTTTGACTATTAGCATTCTACTGTATTAAAGAGCTTCAGAGAACTACTAAACCCAGAAACCTTTCTGCAACACGATTTCCGGGTCACAGACCTTGCAAGCTCACAAAATCCAATCACTTCCGGGAGCAAGAAATGACCTCCTCCCAGGATCCTCTGCGGAGAAAGATCTGGGCTTTCTGGGAGATGTAGTTCTGCTATCAGCATACTACTGTACGAAAGAGTTTAACAGAACTACATAACCCAGAAACCTTTCTTTAAATTTATTTCCGGGTCACAAACCGTGGAAGCTCACAAACTTCCAATCACTTCCGGGGGTAAGAAGTGACCTCCCCCAGGATTCTCTGCGGAGCAGGGATTGTGGGAAGAGTTGGGATTTCTGGGAGATGTAGTTCGACTATTAGCATTCTACTTTATGAAAGAGCTTAACAGAACTACAAAACCCAGGAAACTTTATAAAACATTATTTCCGGGTCACAAACACTTACTCACATAGTTGCAATCATTTCCGGAAGCAAGAAGTGACCTCCTCCCAGGATCCTCTGCAGAGCAGAATCTGTGGGAAGAGCTGACGCTTCAGGGGGATGTAGTTCAGCTAGAAAAAAAATAAATATATATATATGCTGTGCTCACCGGTAACCACTAAGGGGCAGCATTAATCTCTTTAGTATGTCTTTCTGTACAAGTGTGTGTGAGATATACAGATATTCCACAAGGTGGCGCACAAAATCTTGTGTGAACTACTCTTTAAACTGTCTTAAACATTTTAGATTTCCTCTCTTTTTGGGTTCATTACCAGAGATTAGGGCGGTCCGAAATTCAGAAATTAACAATTTAGACCAAACTGAAATTCAGAGCAATGTAGGAACCAAAACAAATTGTGATTGTATATTTGCTAATTTATATGACATCACAGAAGATAAAGTCACTTCATAATAAGAGAAGGTGGTGTACATTATAATATTATAAAATATACCCTTACATTTATATTGGAAAAAATTCCAACATAAATATACAAGTGCATATCAACAACTGTGCATATATAAATACATCGAAGGCATGCCAAAGGCTTGAACAAATTAGTATCCTCATTATTCCAAATGATACCAAATTAGAGCGATGTTTATCAGACGGTTCACTCATTTTGAATCCTTAAAAAGGATAATCCAAGATAAGGGTGTCAAATTAGGAAGCTATTTATTGAACATCTACATGAAAGATCAAAAGTAACAAAAAAAGCTTTCATTCATAATTTCACTTTTCCGCTGTTAAGTAGAGTTTGGTAACAATAAATGAGTGACAAAAATAAAGGATACAAAATAAGGGACCTATCTACTAAACAAGTGGAGCAACTACATTAAGAATTTTTTTTTTTTCCGGCTCAATTGTCACCTTTCAGCTGTTTAGTTGATAGATCCTTAATGTGGTATCCTTATGTGTGATTAACATAACTAAAGGTACCTAATTAAGAACTTCCTGTGTGTCCATCTCACCTAAATACTTGTATGTCAGTTCACCGATTCTAGGAGACGGGGCATGGATAATGGGAATGGCAGCACTCCGTTAGTGCAGAGCAGGGATAATGGGAATGGTAGCACTCAGTGCAGTGCAGGGAGAATGGGAATGGTAGCACTCAGTTAGTGCTGAACAGGGATAATGGGAATGGTAGTACTCGGGCAGTCAGTGCAGGAATAATAGGAATTGGAAGAACAAACTCAGTCAGTGCAGGGATAATGGGAATGGTAGTACTCAGTCAGTGCAGGGATAATGGGAATGGTAGTACTCAGTCAGTGCAGGGATAATGGGAGTGGTAGTGCTCAGTCAGTGCATGGATAATGGGAATGGTAGTTGTCAGTCAGTGCAGGGGGAATGGTAGTCGGTGCAGGGATAATGGGAATGGTAGCGCTCAATCAGTTTAGGGATAATGGGAATGGTAGTAGTCAGTCAGTTTAGGGATAATGGGAATGGTAGCAGTCAGTCAGTTTAGGGATAATGGGAATGGTAGTTGTCAGTCAGTGCAGGGATAATGGGAATGGTAGCACTCAGTCGGTGCAGGGATAATGGGAATGGTAGTTGTCAGTCAGTGCAGGGATGATGGGAATAGTAGTTGTCAGTCAGTGGAGGGATAATGGGAATAGTAGTCAGTCAGTGCAGGGATGATGGGAATGGTAGTTGTCAGTCAGTGCAGGGATGATGGGAATGGTAGTGATCAGTCAGTACAGGGATAATGGGAATGGTAGTTGTCAGTCAGTGCAGGGATGATGGGAATGGTAGTCAGTCAGTGGAGGGATAATGGGAATGGTAGTCAGTCAGTGGAGGGATAATGGGAATGGTAGTTGTCAGTCAGTGCAGGGATGATGGGAATGGTAGTTGTCAGTCAGTGCAGGGATAATGGGAATGGTAGTCAGTCAGTGCAGGGATGATGGGAATGACAGTTCAGCAATACACGTTAGGCTCAGTGATAAAAGCCATAAACACAGGGAACCTAGACCTGGCTAAATGTTCCTGCAATACTGAGCTCCACCTGCTGAAATGGAGCCATTCAGGTTTAATGCATGACATGGATAGCAATCATGGAACAAAACACCCAGGGGGCGTCAGACAAGATACTTACACTTCATTTCCGGGTCACACACCTAGCATTCCCGCCAAAAACAAAAACTCCCAATCACTTCCGGGGGCAGGACGTGACCTCCCCCCAGGATTCTCCGCGGAGCATGGACTGTGGGGAGAGTTGGGGTTTCTGGGAGATGTAGTTTGACTATTAGCATTCTACTGTATTAAAGAGCTTCAGAGAACTACTAAACCCAGAAACCTTTCTGCAACACGATTTCCGGGTCACAGACCTTGCAAGCTCACAAAATCCAATCACTTCCGGGAGCAAGAAATGACCTCCTCCCAGGATCCTCTGCGGAGAAAGATCTGGGCTTTCTGGGAGATGTAGTTCTGCTATCAGCATACTACTGTACGAAAGAGTTTAACAGAACTACATAACCCAGAAACCTTTCTTTAAATTTATTTCCGGGTCACAAACCGTGGAAGCTCACAAACTTCCAATCACTTCCGGGGGTAAGAAGTGACCTCCCCCAGGATTCTCTGCGGAGCAGGGATTGTGGGAAGAGTTGGGATTTCTGGGAGATGTAGTTCGACTATTAGCATTCTACTGTATGAAAGAGCTTAACAGAACTACAAAACCCAGGAAACTTTATAAAACATTATTTCCGGGTCACAAACACAGAACTTACTCACATAGTTGCAATCACTTCCGGAAGCAAGGAGTGACCTCCTCCCAGGATCCTCTGCGGAGCACAGTCTGTGGGAAGAGCTGACGCTTCAGGGGGATGTAGTTCAGCTAGAAAATATATATATATGCTGTGCACACAGGTAACCACTAAGGGGCAGCATTAATCTCTTTAGTATGTCTTTCTGTACAAGTGTGTGTGAGATATACAGATATTCCACAAGGTGGCGCACAAAATCTTTACTCTTTTAATGGTCTTAAACATTTTAGATTTCCTCTCTTTTTGGGTTCTTTACCAGAGATTAGGGCAGTCCGAAATTCAGAAATTAACAATTTAGACCAAACTGAAATTCAGAGCAATTTAGAAATAAAAACAAATTGTTATTTTATATTTGCTAATTTATATGACATCACAGAAGATAAAGTCACTTCATAATAAGAGAAGGTGGTGTACATTATAATATTATAAAATATACCCTTACATTTATATTGGAAAAAAATTCCAACATAAATATACAAGTGCATATCAACAACTGTGCATACATAAATACATGGAAGGCATGCCAAAGGCTTGAACAAATTAGTATCCTCATTATTCCAAATGATACCAAATTAGAGCGATGTTTATCAGGCAGGTTACTAATTTTGAATCCTTAAAAAGGACAATCCAACATAAGGATATCAAATTAGGGAGATATTTACTAAACAGCTACATTGAAGAGCAAAATTAACAAATAGACTTTTTTTGATTAATTTTCAATTTTCCGCTGTTTAGTAGAATTTGGTACCAATAAATGAAACTGACAAAAGTTTAAAGGACCACTATAGTGCCAGGAAAACAAACTCCTGTGACGCTGAAAGAGGAAGAAGGGGTTAATCCCTTACCTTTTTTCCAGTGCCGGGCTACCTCGGCGCTGGGACTCTCTTCCCTCTTCTTCCGTCATCGGCTGAATGCGCATGCGCAGCAAGAGCCGCGCACGCATTCAGCCAGTCTCATAGGAAAACATTATTAATGCTTTCCTATCGACGCTGGCGTCTTCTCACTGTGAAAATCACAGTGAGAAGCGCCTCTAGCGGCTGTCAATGAGACAGCCACTAGAGGCTGGATTAGCCCATAGGTAAACATAGCAGTTTCTCTGAAACTGCTATGTTTACAGCAAAAAGGGTTAAACCTAGCTGGACCTGGTACCCAGACCACTTCATTAACATAACTAAAGGTACCAAAATAGGGACTTCCTGTGTGTCCATCTCACATAAATACTTGTATGTCAGTTCACCTATTCTAAGGACCAGTGCATGGATAATGGAAATGGTAGCCCTCAGTCAGTGCAGGGATAATGCGAATGGTAGCACACAGTGCAGAGCAGGTAAATGGGAATGGCAGCACTCAGCCAGTGCAGATATAATGGGCATGGTAGTACTCAGTCAGTGCAGAGCAGGGATATTGGGAATGGCAGCACTCAGTCAGTGCAGGGAAAATGGGAATGGTAGTTCTCAGTCAGTGCAGTGCAGGGATAATGGGAATGGTAGTACTCAGTCAGTGCAGAGCAGGGATATTGGGAATGGCAGCACTCAGTCAGTGCTGGCATAATTGGAATAGCAGGACTCAGTCCGTCATTGCAGGGATAATGGGAATGGTAGTACTCAGTCAGTACAGAGTAGGGATAATGGGAATGGTAGCACTCAGGAAGTCAGTGCAGGGATAATGGGAATGGTAGCACTCACTCAGTGCAGGGATAATGGGAATGGCAGCACTCAGTCAGTGCAGGGATAATGGGAATGGCAGCAGTCCGTTAGTGATGAGCAGGAATAATGAGAATGTTAGAACTCAGTCAGTGCAGGGATAATGGTAATGGTGCATGGATTTTTGGCTACACTGGCGAAGATGCATTTTTCTGCCCCCTGCCCCTCCTCACACCTGCAAAACATGCATCTATACCTGTGTATAGTCTTTTGAATTTGTTAGTTCTATAGTGTTTCATATCTCCTCTTGAATGTCTTAGCCTTTTGTCCCCTTGTGTTTGTTACTTCCCCTTGTGTATCTTTATCTCCCCACCAGCCCCTTGTTGTGTCACTGTGCAGAGCAGGTAAATGGGAATGGCAGCACTCAGCCAGTGCAGATATAATGGGCATGGTAGTACTCAGTCAGTGCAGAGCAGAGATATTGGGAATGGTGGCACTCAGTCAGTGCAGGGATAATGCGAATGGTGGCACTCAGTGCAAAGCAGGTAAATGTGAATGGCAGCACTCAGCCAGTGGAGGGATAATGGGAATGGTAGTTCTCAGTCAGCGCAGTGCATGGATAATGGGAATGGTAGTACTCAGTGTGACAGATTCATCTGCATTGTTGGTTCGTCTGTTTCCCTTTTGTTCGCGGAATTGCCTGTTCCTATACCCCCGTTCGTGTAATTTGCAAAATACCGATTGAAACTACCGAACGAACGACCACCCAGGAGAGGAGTGTGCTGCTGGTTAACCTCCTGGCCCCAATTAGAACGTTGTGGTTAACCGCAGACACCTCTCCATTCCATTCGTACGGGTGGTCGTCGTTCGCATGTCGACCACGAGGCAGCGGCCATTTTGGGACATACGAACACAGAGCGGTGTTCGGTACAAACTGTATGGAACTAAAAACGGACACTTAAACTACCGAACACCGCTGAAAAGCTGCTGCCTACCTTCCTTTTCGACAAGGCATGCGAACGTCGGTCGTTCGGGAGTTTTATTCATTCGTATGGACTTTCACCCCGACAGCCATCCCATGGAGTCATTCGTATACCGAAGGACTGGTGAAGGACTTTGACTCCATGGCGATTCGACTAGATACATCAGATCTGAGCGCTATTCGGTGAAAACATGCACTCAGATCCAGGCTGTCTGGGGATACGTTACACGAACTATATGCATTCGGTATTTCTTCAGTTATGTATTTTAATGTATTTTTATTACTGTAAGTTAAAATGGCGATTGTCTCTACCTTGGGAGATAATTAGGTTTCTTCCTAATTATCTCCGGGGTAGAGAAGACGGATTTATGGGTAAGATGGGAAGGGCTATTATTGAAGCCACTGCGATTGGCTACTGTCCAATATGTTTTACAGTCTTCCACAAGGTCCCCTTGGGGAGTGTCCACCTTGTGGAGACCTGCATAAATACCGGGCAGGTAGCCCCCATTAAACAGAACTTCATTTGACCCTCAAGACGGAGCTTGGTCTCGTTTGTGGGGGAATTATTACTGGGACAGCGCTTTCGTTATTTCTAGCTGTGGAAGGCGTTCGACTGTTTAGCTGATCGGGAGTTGCCGCGTTCGTGGACTTCGTTCGGGAGTTTGGCGATCGGCTGGATTTAAACTGCATTTCTGGAAAAAGGGATTATTGCCTAAACGGCGGCTTCATCTACCCGACGGTACGTGTCGTAACACTCAGTCAGTGCAGACCAGGGATAATGGGAATAGTAGTACTCAGTCAGTGCAGGGATAATTGGAATAGCAGGACTCAGTCCGTCATTGCAGGGATAATGGGAATGGTAGGACTCAGTCAGTACAGAGTAGGGATAATGGGAATGGTAGCACTCAGGAAGTCAGTGCAGGGATAATGGGAATGGCAGCACTCAGTCAGTGCAGGGATAATGGGAATGGCAGCACTCCGTTAGTGATGAGCAGGGATAATGAGAATGTTAGAACTCAGTCAGTGCAGGGATAATGGGAATGGTGCATGGATTTTTGGCTACACTGGGGAAGATGCATTTTGCTGCCCCATGCCCCTCCTCACACCTGCAAAACATGCATCTATACCTGTGTATAGTCTTTTGAATTTGTTAGTTCTATAGTGTTTCATATCTCCTCTTGAATGTCTTAGCCTTTTGTCCCCTTGTGTTTGTTACTTCCCCTTGTGTATCTTTATCTCCCCACCAGCCCCTTGTTGTGTCACTGTGCTTTAGTGTGGGAGATAAGGGCAGAATTGTGTGGGAATTAAACTTTATTATTATTATTATTATTATTATTATTATTTATAAAGCTTAATAGATAGAGATATTCCTTGTCTATCACTGTTTGACTAATGATAGTGGTTAAATAGGGTGTTCCACCACTAAAAATGAAGCAGTTTAAGCCCTTGGTTAAGTACAAAGAGAAAAGAGATAGTGGTGAGACACTTATTAAAAAGT